ATAAATGATTGAAATTTATTATAATTTTTTTAGATAAAAAAGACTATTATCTTCAAAAACTAAAATAAAAATATATAAATGTCAACTATTTATAGTGAAAAAATAAATAATCAAGATTTTATATACATGATATATGTAAAAATTATATATAAGTGGATCGTACCTTTATATTAAATTACTATGAGGGTGTTTGGTAAAATTTTAAAAATAACTTACTTAAAAGAAAATTTCTTTTCTCATAAAATTTTAAATTTATTGAAGAAAAATTCAAAAACTAACTTTTAAAGTGACTTTTAAACAAGTTTTGAGAAAATTACATATCCAAAATTTCTCAAAATTTACTTAAAAACTATTTTAAAAATCAACTTTTAAAATTTTCTTCCAATAAAAGTTTAAATTTATAAGAGAAAAATTTACTTTTAAAATAAATACTTTTAATTCTTCCCGAACACCCTCTTTTACTATATATCTTAATGTTTTTTCTTCTCTTTATCATTCTCCCATTATCTTTTTAATGAACCAAACTCAGCATATTAATGCTCTCATAGTCAATTCTTTCTCCGTTTAATTTTTATAGTTAAAACTGATGTCTCTTCCTTTTAATCACTAATTCCATATACCATATGCATAAAATGTACAAGAATTGGGCAACCTGAGCAATGTAGAGGGGCTTATTTTGAGTAGGAATGAGCTCAATGGAAACTTGCCAGTTCAAGGTATTAAATGAACTACTACTCCATTCCAATCCCAAAGTTCAATTTAACTACTCTGCTCCTGTGAAAATCTCGCTGACACTATGTATTATTCTTGTTCATCTATTGATAGGTTTTACAAAACTGAAGATATTAGATTTGAGCTTGAATGACTTTAACGGGACCATCCCTCCATCTATTGGGGCACTTCATTCTCTAAAGGCATTGTTTCTATCTTCTAATTGGCTTAACGGCTCATTACCAAATCTCGGTACGTAAGAGATTAATATATTCTTTTTCCTTCTTACACATGAAATGGCATGATGAAGACTATGTCCAACACGTTATGGTAACTTAACCTTTGTTTTGAATACTTTATGCTATGCCTTAAAAATAGAATAAACAAAGAAGAGACAAATTCTTTAGGTCTACCGAAATTGATTTGTTAATTGTTAAAATCCAATATATGTGGGTCCTAAATTCTAACCCATGTCTGTCTAGCCCAATTTAATTGAACTCACCACTCAAGACATATTTCAAGGGCCTTTGAAAGCTGAAAAAATAGCAGGGTAGTAAAAACCCAAATGCCTAACGAGAAAAGTGTTTTGTGCATTGTTTTTAAAATATTTTTTTGGATAATATATTTAAAAATTTAACTTTGCTCCTTTGAAAATCAAGATTGACACTATGTACTATTCTTGTTCATCTATTGATAGGATTTACAAGACTGGAGATACTAGATTTGAGTTGGAATGAATTTAGTGGAGCCATTCCTCCATCTATTGAGGCACTTCATTCTCTAAAGACATTGTTTCTATCTGGTAATCAACTCAACGGCTCATTACCAAATCTTGGTACGTAATAAATTTATTTATTCTTTTTCCTTCTTGTATATGAAATGGCATGATGAAGAGTAAGTCCAACATGAGATGCTAACTTAACCTATGTTTTGAAGGCTTTACACTGCGCCTTAAAAAAGGAATAAATAAAGAAGGGACACATTCTTTAGGTCTGTCGAAATGGAATTGTTAATTGTTAAAATCCAATAAATGTAGGTCCTAAATTCAACTCATGTCTGGTCCAATTTAATTGACTACTCAAGACATATTTCATGGGCCTTTGAAAGCCAAAAGAATTGCAGGGTCATAAAAGTTGAAAGACCTAAGGAGAGAAAGAATTTTGCAGGCTGGTTTTTTAATTTTTTTTTAAATAATATATTTAAAATTTTATTTTTTATTTAATATTTTAAAAATTAACTATTGAATTAAAAGTTTTATTCATATAAACCATGCATATCAATTTTTAGATTGTTCTAGGCTTATTCACTTTGTTGGTTACATAAAATTCAATACTATTAAATATATGTCAATAAATAAAATTTATTTGATCAAAAAGTTAAGTGTTGATCATAATGAAAATTGACGTGCATAATTTATATAAATAAAATTTTTAATCTAACAATTAGTTTTTGAAAATATTAATTAAAATATGAGTTTTTAAGCCTCTTCTTTTAAAAAAAATTAGAAGAAGATGACCTCATGCTTAATTGTTATACTTTTTATCAGTTAAATAAAGCTAATTAAAACCTCTTTTTTGGCTCTAGATTGAGGACATTGGTTATTTGAATGAGATTACGAAAAAAAATTAGAAATTCATTGGTAATTTTTTATTAATGCAATTGCGTTCATTCGAATAATTGGAAATTAATTGAGAGATTAATTAGTAAACTAATGAAACAAAAAAATCATTATGGATTCTTAGCAAATAATTGATGTCTTTTATGGTAGGTCTGTGTGGATTAAAGAGGCTTCAAGAGTTGGATCTAAGCGACAACAATTTTGAAGGGACACTTCCTCCATGTCTAAACAATCTAACATCTCTTAAACTTTTAGATATTTCAAACAATTTTTTCTCTAAAAACCTTTTTCCAGATTTGATACAAAGCCTCCCATTATCCCTTGAATCCATTGATCTCCGTCACAACAATTTCCAAGGCTTATTCTCCTTCAGCTACATTGGAAATTATTCTAAGCTTGAGGTATTCATGCTCACAGGCTACAAAGATGGACTACAAGTTGATGCTCAGCATTCAAATTGGATCAATATGTCATTTCAACTCAAGGTATTGATACTCTCTAATTTGAGCCTAAACGGTATTTCAGCGTTTCTCTTTTATCAACAAAAATTGAGAGTAATTGATCTTTCTCACAACAAGTTGAAAGAAGAGTTCCCTGTTTGGCTATTGCAAAATAATTCGAACCTTAGATTTATGAATCTCAAGAATAATTCTTTTGTTGGTCAACTCAATTCGCTATCGTATGAAATTAGAAATATGACTTGGCTAGATCTCTCAAACAATCATTTTACTAGAAAGTTGTCAGAGGATTTTGGGGACAAACTTCTTGGCTTACATTATCTTAATTTGTCTCATAATCAATTTGAAGGTGCTCTCCCAAGTAGTCTTGGTAATATGAGAGATTTGGTCCAGTTGGATTTGGCCTTCAATATTTTCTCTGGAAAAGTCCCTAATAAATTGCTTGTGGGGTGTAGCAAGTTGAGACATTTGAGGTTGTCTAACAATAGATTTAATGGCCAATTTTTCTCATCTAAATTCAACCTGAGCACTTTGTTTCAACTAGAATTGAACAACAATAAATTCACTGGAAGTCTATTGAATGTGAAGCTTGAGACATTGGACATATTAGATGTTAGCAACAACTACTTGAGGGGTCCAATTCCTACTTGGGCTACTCAGGCGAGATGGTTAATTTCAATGAGGAATAACTTTTTTGAGGGTCAATTTCCATGCCAAAAACCTATGTCTATGTCGTTGTTTTTTCTGGACCTTTCTCATAATGTTCTTTCTGGTCATCTACCTTCTTGCATTGATTTCACCAACATCAATGAGATTCATTTAGAAGGGAACAAGTTCACAGGATTATTGCAACATTTTCTTCCCAATTCCTCAAGGAGTCTTTCTGTGTTGAATCTCAGAGATAACAACTTGTCTGGCTTCATTCCTGACTTGATTGGTACATTTTTGAATCTGAAAATTCTTTTATTGGGAAAAAATCATTTAAAAGGTTTGATTCCAAAGACATTGTGTTTATTGAAAGATATAAACATAATGGATCTTTCTAGCAACTTATTCTCTGGAACAATACCCTCTTGTTTCCAAAATTTAACCTTTGGGGTGACGGAGAATTATAATGAAACTCTTGTACAAGATCAATCACTGTTTATTGGACAATTTTTTGATGAAAGTTACATATATGGAGATCTCACAGAGGAGGATCTTGACTTTCTCTCATTAATTGAGACTACAATATTGAATGAGATTTATCTAGTTGATAAAAACAGGGGAAGCTTTTTCAAGGGTAGTATACTAAATTTCATGTCTACTCTTGACATGTCTTGTAATGATCTAACTGGAGATATCCCTCAAGAGCTTGGAAAGTTTGCTCAGATTCGTGCTTTAAACTTATCTCATAATCAATTGACAGGTCCTATTCCAATTACTTTGTCAAAACTATCCAAGATTGAAAGCTTAGACCTTTGCTGTAATAATCTGAGTGGAAATATCCCTCTAGAGTTGACCAACCTGAACTTCTTAGAGGTCTTCAATGTGTCATACAACAACTTATCTGGCCAGATTCCAATGAAAGGACAGTTTTCAACATTCGAGGAGAGTAGCTATGAAGGAAACCAGTTTCTTTATGGGTTGCCATTGGAGAAATGCTGCATCATGTATCCTAAGACGCCACATTTAGAATCATTGCCTTTGGTTGCAACCAAAGGGAAATGGTATGAAGTTGACCTTTCTGCTTTTCGTGCATGTTTTTTCCCAGCATATGCGGTGTTCTTTCTATTGATTGTGTCCCTTCTCTACATCAACCCTCATTGGCTTAAAAGGCCACTTTATTTCATATTGAACATAAACTACCTTCTGAATTTGGCATTCTTCAAGATTTTGAGTCATTGATGAAAGTAGTCCAACTTATTACCTAGTTCTTGCAACTTTATGTACCATTTAGTCAGTTTAGTCCTTTGGTTGTGACAACAACATTTAGTTATTGTGGATACATTTGGGAATATGAATTTGAAGTATGTGTGTATTTGAATTTGGCGTTTAAACTCAAATGAAGTATTTGTTTTTACAAAATGAGATTGCATTGTAATACATGCATTTCGATCTCTATATCTCGAAGGCCTAAATACATGTATTTGACACTTAAACGTCCCTTCTCCAACCAAAGAATTTGAAGGTGTATTTTACAAATTTAAGTTTGGCTATTTCCTAACTTAAAATGAAAAATTGTAAAACATAAACTACTGATCGCTACAGGACATTGTTCTCTTCATGGTTAAGAAAAACAGAGTCCCAAAGTGAACAAAATCACACGATTTTCAACTCCGAGTTAAACCCCACACCACAGAAACGAAACCCACAGTGGAAATAAAAATGGGCAACGAAACAAAGAAAGTGGGGACGAGTCATGCATTTCTTTGGGTTGGGCCTATGCCAATTGCGAGCAAAATTTTCTTTGGGCTGAGCTGGGTTTAGGACTTTAGCAACTTGTCCCAACCGTTTCTTCCTTTGGGTTGGGCTAGATTAGTCCCACAATTTTTCCCTGTGTAATTGTGCCTTCGAGTCAACCTCTAATTTTCGTGTCTTCTTTCCACCTCAAATCACCAAATCTTGAAGCTCATCTCCACTTTCCGACCTCAAAGATCTGCGAGCAACAATGCAAGGCGTTACTTCTCCTCCAACCCTCTATGGACCTTTCCAGAATCATCGCCTTCGGCTAACTCACCCTCCACCGCCGACTCATCCCTTTTTGGGACTTGGGTCAATGGCCAGAAGCCGGAGGGCACCGACAGAGATGAAGATTTCGTCATCCCTTCACTTGCTAGTTGGATTAAGAGCCGGACCGGCAAGGCTATATGCACTTCCCAAATGGCGAACGTGATTCTAACGTCGATCAAGTTTGTGAAATCCTCAGGAAAGAACACTTATCGTATGATAAAGTTGTTGAAGCTCTAAATGGGTGCGAGGTAAGTGTGTCAAACACATTAATAGAGAAGGTTTTGAAAAGATTTGATAATGACTGGATCCCAGCTTTTGGGCCGGGGTTCTCCCTTGAGCAAAATCACAAACCGGTTATGAGCATCCCCTGAGGTGTTTAACACCTTGGTTGATATATTAGGAAAAGCAATTTGATTTGATGTGGGATTTAGTTAAGGAAATGCAGCAGTTTAAGGGGTATGTTACATTGGCTAAAATGAGTAAGGTTATGAGGAGGTTAGTTGAAGCTACGGGGTACAGTGATGCTATTGCTGCTTTCCGAGAGATAGAAAATTTTGGTGTTCGCCAAGATGGAGAGGCGATTGCTGTGTTAATGGCTGCTTTGGTTAAGGGGAATGCCTTGGACAGTGTTGATCATGCAAGGAACTTAATTATACCTCTGACTTCAATTTGTTTCGATGTATTGATAAATGGTTTTTGCAAAGCTAAGAAGCTAGAAGATGCCAGGAATATTATGGATGAGATGGAGAGACATGGATATCGACTCAATGTTGCTTCTTATACTAGCTTTATTGAGGCTTACCGTCGTTAAAAAGATCTTAGCAAAGTTGATGCTGTATTGGATGAAATGCAAGAGAAGGGTTGCAAGCCAAATATGGTGACTTACACCCTCATTATGAAAGCTCGATGTGAGGCAGGTGAGATTACTCAAGCATTGGAGGTTTATGAGAAGATTAAGAGTGATGGTTGTTTACCAGACGGTTCATTTTATAGTTTATTGATTTTCATCCTGAGCAAGGCAGATAGACTTCATGATTGACGTAAAATATTTGAGGACATGGAAAGGGGAAATATAAAGCCAAATGTTTGGGCATATAATGCCATGATTTCCTCTGCTTATGCACATTCGAGAGAAGAGGAGGCATTGAAATGGCTTCAGAAAATGGAAGAGGATTCATGCAAGTCCGGTCGTCTTACTTACTCGCCATTGCTTCCTTTGTGCTTCAGGAAGAATAGGATGAAGGTGCCGACCTTTCTGTTAAACCACATGTTTAAGAACGACCTAAGTATTGATCTTGGAATATATGCCCTTCTGCTGAGTGGGTTTTGTGAGAGTGGGAACCTTCAGCTGCCTTGCTCATACTTCAAGGAAATGGTGCTTAAGGGAATGGTCCCTTACCAGTCAACATACAGCCGGTAAAGGAACTTTGTGAAAAGAACACGGTCGAAACAAAGCAATGGATTGAAAATTTGATGGTCCAGGCAAAAGAGCGAAGGAAGCAGAGAATTCTTGAGTTAGTAAAATTAGAGTCAATTTTGCACAAACCCTAGAGCAGAGTCTTTGCAATGGATTAAAATCTTTCCATTATGATGTTTTCTTCTCCACTCTTTTAACTCTCTCCCCTACGGGCTGTGGATCTAGAGGCAAACAAAATGTTGAATTATCTTCTGCATTTCATTTAGAATTCAAATACATATAAAAGGAAGATTTTTCCATTTTTATTTATTTGGAAAACAGAATTATTCCCAAGAATTCTATAACTGAATACATAAAAAGAATATCACAGTTCCTTTCCACTTCTTCCCAGTGCCCTTCTCTTGTAGGTGTCTTTGGAGAATAGAGAGTTTAAGCTAGAGCGTGTAGATAACTTTCTTGCATTTGGCTTTCGCCAGCAGCCTAGTCTTTCTAGGAAATCTTCGATTAACCTACGAAGTCATTTTCACCTTCATAAGATATCAGTTTATCAATATGAAGGAAGATTAGTAGAAACAACACACAAAAAGGTACTCACATGCTGCACGCTGCCTTTTGTGAGGATGCCAACTCGTGGTCAGGGAAAGAATCTTCAAATCAAAAAACTCAACCAAATATAGAGGTCCAGCACCTTCACAGTTATCCCAAAGAAAAGATGAGGTTTTAGCAGCAAATACACTTAGTTTAAGAGTTGAAAATGGATTTGCATTGCTTTTTTTACAATGGAAAATGTCCATGTTCAGCTAATACTGAGAGAAAAAAATTACCTGATGAATGGATTCAAGCTCCTTCCTTTTACTGTGTGTCTTTGGCACTTGAGGTGCACCTGGTGCAAGTATTTCTTGGAGCCGAACAATGCCTTTCTTAGCGTAATTTTTCTGCAAACTGATGAATGGAGATAGATAGACCATCTCAGTTTCTTCTTTCAAAGTAATTTTGAATTACATAACAATTTTAGATAAAGAATTTGGTATAAGAATTTACCTGTGTTAGACCCTGAGCTGAAATCTCATCATCCATGTCAACTGGACTGCATATCACAAATATTACACAATGAGAATGTGATCAAGTTTTTCATGGCATTTGCTACCTGAATTGTTTGGTCAACCAAACTGCTAGAAAGGCTTACTGGACTAGACAGACTTATTATTCTAAGCAACTTCCTACAGTTTGAAGGAAATATATTACCTCAAACAAAAAAGATACTTCTCATGCAACCCGAGAGACAATTGATCAACAAGAGCAGCAACTTTCTGGTGTCAATACTGCCATTAGTCCTTGTAGATGAAAATAAAAATTGAAATAAGACAAAGTATGATTGAAGAAACTTACCAATATGCCTTCGCAGTTGGAAATAAAATAATTTTCTGATAGTTTTGCATTCTCTAAGAAATGCTCCTGTGGAAAAAATATTACAAGAAGAGAGTCAATTTACCCCTCTTTGTGGGTTTTTTTTTT